AAAAATTATTCACATTTGTCGGATTCTGGACCACCTGTCCTCACGGCTCATCCAAGTCAATAAATAATAGTACTTGACTGATTCTGGATACCAACCCACCGACTCAGTCTAGCCATACATAGCATCTCATGACTGATTCTGAGCATCAGCCCTTAGACTCAGCCTGACCCACACATGTCACAACACACTACTCGAATCTTTAAAACTCGCTACTTTCATTCTATATTTTAAATATATATATATATATATATATATATATTCTTTTTATTTTCGAAATCATTTCCAAAATCTTTTCCAAAATCATTAAATTACAATTTTGTCTTTAATCTTTCCTGAAAATTCCATGTATGTCCCTAAATGACTATTTTACCCTTGGACATTTTCGAAAATTCCTTCCATGTCCCAAAAATGACTATTTTACCCTTGAACATTTTCAAAATTTCCTTCCATGTCCTGAAAATGACTATTTTACCCTTGAACATTTTCAAAAATTCCTTCTATGTCCCTTTCTTCTTCCTCGCGTAAGTAACAATATCAAAATTTGCAGATTTTAGCAGATTTCAAATTACTCAGTTTTAGACAACCAAACTAGTCCCAAATTCAAATTAAACATGACTTATATCTAATTTAAGTTGAAAACAACAATTTTACCATATAATTCATCCTTAATTTCAAGAATTTCAACAAAATTTCAAGTTTTGCAAAATATGAGAAATCTTCAAAATCAATCATTCTAGTGTTCAGATTTTCACTCCTATTCCTTATTCACAGAGTACTCAACAATTCGAGTCTCATATATTGAATGAATTAAACTTTCCCTTACCTAGTGTGATATTTCTACCAAAGTTTTCCCACTTAATTCAAGTTCTCTTCCGTTTCACCATATCCTACACAAGTAGAGTTTCGTTGCTTAAAATTTAGACAAAAGAAGAAGAAGGATGAGAGGGAGAACTACTTGCTGATGCCTCCTCCCCCTTTTTGTACGTGCATATATAAAAGAAAAGTGTTGTTGTGCATGAAGAAAACTTCGTTACGAAGTTTTCTTGCACAGTAATATTATTATAATATATTAAAAAAACATAGGTCACAATACACGGATAAAAACTTAAAAGTGTTAGTGTCTATATTTATTAATAACTTCAATTATTAAGTCATAACATTTTATTTTGATTTTACTAATTTCAAATGTATAATATCAATTTATATTATAAGCGATGATAAAAAGATGTTATAAAAATGATATTTTTTAATATGTACTAGTGAAAATATAAATATGTGTTCGCATTTTATTATATTTTTATTTTGATTTATTAACATTTAATATATATTAAGTTTAAAATATAAATATTTATTTATGAAATTATGAAATATAGGAGACAAATAAATATTAGATAGAGTTATAAGAAGAGAAAAACCAAAAAAAAAAGGTGCCATGATCATGAGTGAGTAAAAAAATTACATTTTTTATTTATTATTTTATATTAAAAAATAAAAAAGACATATGATTAAAAGAAATAAAAAAAATATGACATAAATATAAATTATATTTTTTTTATCTATCTAAAATGTAAAAGAAAAAAAATAAGATAATTCTTTTATATAATATGTATATTGTTATTTGTACAGATGAGTATTGAAAGTATTAACATATATATTAATAGTTTTAATTACTTGTTTATATGAAATATTATTAATATACTTACAAATTAGTTTAATACAAATTAATATGACAGATATGTTAATATTTTCGGTTAACAATATAAACAATAGACTAAAATTGCTTAATTTAATATATATATATATATATATATATATATATATATATATATATATATATATATATATATATATATAAAATTTCATAGAAATTGAACTTGCACATTCAAAATCAAAATATATACATCACTTGAACTAATAGCAATTTGATAAATATTTTTTCTAATAACACCATAAGAAATTTCGTATATTGTAGATTACGGTGCCAAGAAAAGAAAAGTACTGTATCTTATAAATAAAAATATAATTTCTATCTTAATTAATTTTATCATATTTAAAATATAATATTTTAAAATAAATTATGCAGTGTTAATTGTACACGTCATATTATTTTTATTGAATGTTCATTGAAAAAAATCTATTAAATATTTTGTCAAAAAAAAAAAAACGGAGAAAAAACAACGTCTTCATCAGACTTACTTGTATTATTGTGTTCTTCATTTTTTGTCTGCAGAAAAAAATACGGAGAAATTATTAAAAAAAATACTAAATATGTATCCTTTTACAAAAGTATATATTAAAATTAATATAGAATGGAAGAATGTGTATTGTAAAATGAAAGTTTTTGTTTGAATGTATAAAGTTTGTTGATGTTAACCATCAGGTGTAAAGTTATATCAGAGCATCTTTAAAATTAGTTTATCAACAATTATTTAATAATAAAATTAAATATTTTATTATAAATAATATCATTAAATTGATTAAAATTTAGTTAAAATTATTTATATAAATAATTTTTTTAATTTTGAGTAATTTTTTATATTTTTAAATAACTTAAAGATGAAATCCATAATAAAATATTTATTTTTTTTCTGAACAATTTTCGATAACAATTTTCTTCAATTTTTTAGTAAATTAAATAAAACATTTTTTTAATCACATTATTCAATTTTTTTTTGTTATTATTAAGTTAATAATAGAAAATGACATGAAATAAATTGGAAAAATCAAATAAAATTGGATATTATATTTTTTTCATTATTTACATATTTTATAACAGAATCAAATGTTCCATTATTCTTCATTTAGAAAAAAAAATTACATTTTAGGTTATAGAAATATAAAATTTTTAACTTCTCAAATTTCAATTACACAAATAGAATTGTCTAGGTATCATAATTGTAAAATTTTAGTCACCAAGAAATATTTTTTGTTAATTTTTTAATAATTTTTTCTAAGTCGATACTTATTGATATAAAAATTTAATGTATTGTTTGATACATATGGTATAATTTGAGTAAATTTGTTGTAATGTTTTAAAAAGTATATCCGTATTAACATTAGGACAATCTTAGTTGTTGATCTTATTTTAAAATCTTGAGTTATGTTTTTTGTGGATTCCTCAATGTCACATAAGAAAGAAGATCTTATTCAATTTGTTGTTTAATGGTAGATAGCATTATAAGATCTTGACTAACTTTAAAAATTGAGACATACAAATTTTTATTTTATTTTACAAATTGATAGAATTGTATTTCATTACTCTTCATGTTCCAATTTTTTTAATATATTTCTTATTTAGTCATTATCATTTAGGATGAAAGAGGATATATCTCCATCAAATAAGAAAATGTGTAAATTTCAAATAACATACTATATCTAATAAACTCAATATTTATAAAAAGTTAGATTAGGTTGGTGATCTTTACACTTCCTCTAATATAAAATCTTGAGAATAAAAAAATTTATATTTAAAATATGTATTTGAGAATAATAAATTTTATATTCAATATCACTCTCTCTAATATAAAATCTTGATAATAAAAAATTTTATATTTAAAATATGTATTTGAGAATAATAAATTTTATATCCAAAATATGTATTGAAGATATTATTAGGTCAATTGTTATGTTTTAAATATTATTTTTGTTTGTTATGATTTTATTTTTAAAAGACATATTAATGAATTAAGGGTATATATAAATTATTATTGATTTCAAATATTTTAAGAGAGATAAATTTTTGTAGTAATAATATGATAGAAAAAGAATTTATCTGTAATAAGCAATGCTTCAACAAAATGTTTTACATATATATGACAAATGAAAAAACAATGGTTTAAATTATAGTATAATATAAAATTTTAAAACAATTTAAACATGAATAAATAAATAATTATATTTAATTAAATAATTTTAAAAAATGAGAAATAAATAAGAATGGAAAGAATTGGAAGTCAAAAGAGGCAACATTAGTGAGTCATCGGTTTCGTTTTGTGTTTATCCACCGACACAACCAAAAGCCCTTACATTGCAGCCTGTCCTCCACTAAAGTGTCCATCTTTAAAAGAGACATGTTTTTTTCTTTCCTTGAATTTATTTATACAAATTTGCTGTCACATTATCAATTATTTAATATATAAATTAAATTACCAATTTAATTTAAAATATAATAAATGGTAATTACAATAATTGAGAATAAAATTAAGATAAGATGCAATGCCAAATATGATTGTGTCAAGAAAAGGCAATCCTTGAACACAAAACAACTGGCAGCTCAAAGCTTTGACCATATTAAATACGGGTGGCTTCATCACCAGCTTATATTAAATCTAAACCAAACTTTATTTGACAGTTCATAATAAACCTTTAACTTAATTTCAAGGAAGTAAATGAGATTAATTATGAAATTAGTCTTCTTTTTATTTACTATGCAGTACATTGTAATTATAGTTTATTCAAATTTAAAAATAAATATATATTTTCTGTATTAATGTATAAAAAGTTAAAATCTCAAAATGTAATGGGTCATCAATGACAGATAACTATTGCAATACTAATATACATTTGATTGGTGTCTTGTAAAAGCAATCTTATTTTAAGGGATAATTTTCTAATCATCTTATCCAAAGATACAACAAATACATGCTTCCATGTTCTAATCACTTAGGTATGGAAGGTCCATTTTCATAAACTAGTGATAATATTACACTCCACGACACGAATATTGATGACAGGTGACATCTTTTTCATCACAAAGTATTTTCTTTAAACACAAATCTTAAAAGATAGTATAAAGATGGCCCACCTATTCATAACATTGAAAACACATTTTCCCATGCCGTAGTACGAATTTGATCTCGACCAAATCTAGATCATTCTTTGTAGAACTTTAGATGAAAACTTTGACCAAAGGTGGCTAAAGTACATACGTTGTTCTAGGTTCTAAATTCTTACTATATATAGAAGAGGTTACTCACGTTATATCAACAATTACAACAACAATGGCTTGCCTTTCTCTACGAAAAACTTCTCTCTTTCTTACCTTATTGTTCTTCTCATCCTTTACCATCGTTGCTCGTGCAATTGTTCCGCAGAATGAGACTTTCAAGTTTGTGAACTCGGGTGAACTTGGACCCTTCATTGTAGAGTATGGTGCTGATTACCGAATGATAAGCATCTTCAACTCTCCTTTCCAAGTTGGTTTCTACAACACCACCCCAAATGCCTTCACTCTAGCTTTGCGTGTTGGACTCCAACGCTCGGAGCAACTATTTAGATGGGTGTGGGAGGCTAACAGAGGCAACCCAGTTAGAGAGAATGCCACTTTTTCACTTGGAACTGATGGAAACCTTGTGTTGGCTGATGCTGACGGTAGAATTGCTTGGCAAACCAATACTGCCAACAAGGGTGTTGTGGCCTTCAGGTTGCTTCCAAATGGTAACATGGTCCTCCTTGATGCACGGGGAAAGTTTGTTTGGCAGAGTTTTGACCACCCCACAGATACCCTTTTGGTTGGTCAGTATCTTAGAGCAAAAGGGCCATCCAAGTTGGTTAGTAGGCTCTCAGAGAAGGAGAATGTAGATGGGTCTTATAGTTTGGTTTTGGAGTCTAAAGGGTTGGCCTTGTACTACAAGAGCAAGAACTTCCCTAGGCCAATTCTGTATTGGTTTTCATCTGATTGGTTCTCCATTCAACAAGGCTCCTTGGAAAATGTCACCCTCACTTCTGATTCAGAGAGTTTTGAAATTGGATTTGATTACTACGTGGCCAATTCTTCCAACAATGGTAATAGAATCATTGGCAGGCCGGTGAACAATAGCACCATAACATACCTTAGGCTTGGAATTGATGGTACCATTAAATTCCACACTTACTTCCTTGATGTGCGTAGTGGAGTTTGGCAAGTGACCTACACTCTATTTGACAGAGATTCTGATGAGAGTGAGTGTCAATTGCCTGAGAGATGTGGAAAATTTGGGCTATGTGATGACAACCAATGTGTAGCTTGTCCATTAGAAAATGGACTATTTGGGTGGAGCAACAATTGCACTGCCAAGACTGTGACATCATGCAGGACAAATGAGTTTCACTACTACAAACTTGAAGGAGTTGAGCATTACATGAGTAAATACACTATAGGGGATAGAGTAAGTGAGAGTAACTGTGGAAACAAATGCACTAAGGATTGCAAGTGTGTGGGTTATTTCTACCACAGGGAGAACTCCAGGTGTTGGATAGCTTATGATTTGCAAACCCTCACCAGAGTGACTAATTCCTCACATGTGGGGTATATTAAGGTGCCTAATTAGTAAATTGAAAACCCCTGGTTTTGGAGTTGTATAAGGTTTCTTAAATAAATCCGAAATAGTGATTTAAGTTGCAATAAAGCCATGATTTGTTTCTATCCTCTGTGTTGAGGTGGACATGGATGTACAATAAATTGAAGTTGTAATAGCTTATGATTGGTTTGGGTTAAAGTACACTTCATATTTTTCTCTTTCTATGTAGCAAATTGATTACCTTGGTAAGGCATAACTTATTCTATTTCTTTGTCATTTGTTTTAAGCAGAACAAATTAATTATATTCATGATTTGAACTTATCTGTGATTATAATTCTGGCTAGGGAAAACTATGCGCACATAACAAATGATTGAAAGCTAAATATTGATGTGTCGAGGTTAAATGGTTAGAGAGAACAATTTCATTATTAGAATATAAAATTTAAGTTTTAAAATATAAAAGAAAATTTACAACACTTGTTGCAGTCCCATATAATTCTTCTTAATTAGCTGTTTATCTCGCAATCAAGGCATGTTTGATTCTATGTATGATTCTATGTAGAAAAATAATCACAAGATAAAAAACTGTGAAATATTTATGCCTAGTTTTCTTTTCTACTATAATTAGATTGTCAAAACAGTCGTATGATCCTGTTATATATGAAAAAAAAATTATGTAATTTATATTTTAAAACGATTTATAGATTCTACTCTACTTTATTAACAGATTAAAATTAATTTATTTTAAAAAATAAAAAATATATCAAACATAATCATATAAATTAAATTATAAAATAATTTTTTACATTTTAATTATATATTATAAATTAATTATATCTCTATATAAGATTTATAAGATTTTCTTCATTTACATTTATATATAATTTTCTCATCAAAATTTCACAATATCTTTTACCTTAATTTTATAAATGAGGGTTATAATATCTATTTTTATCGTATTATAGAGTTTGTATTAGAGTGATGATATTTTGAAAACCAAAAACCATACAACCCTTCAAACAACTCACTTTTATTAATATAATAATCTATAGAATCATTTAATAAAAATAAAATAAAATTATTATTATAATATTAAAAGAGAGTTATTTATAAGAGTTGTATGGATTTGGGTAGTGAAAGTCTTTGTATTATACGTGAGTCTATAAGGTGTTTTTTAGGTTGTTTGGGGTCACCAATAAACCTATGACACGTCCAACAACTCTTCCACCCATCTTTCTTTGGCCACCCATAGCCTTTTTTTCATTTCATCAAGTATTATCTTATTGGGCACTTCTGCTTGTTCACTGGTATAGGGTACTCAACTGAACAAGTTTTATGTTGGATGCCTATACCTGCATAGAATTCAGCTTTGCCATTATCCATGTGTTAGTGGCAATAAACCAAGAAAAGCGATCGAAAATGAAGGAAAGAAATGTGACTCGATAAGATAAACAAAAATTCATTTGATGTCTGATTAGAAGTACGTAGCATCGAGAAGCACAATCGAGAATCGAGTGAATGATAATCAAATGCCTGTTATCGAATAAAAACTAAGTTATATGAGACCTAGGTCAAAAAAGGAATCACAAGTAAAATCGAAATTCTCGAAAATACAAAAATCGAGAGTGAAGAAAGCCAATGTGGACATCGGGATTCTGGCCAAACCGTGAAGAGAAGAACAAGTCAAACGCACGTATAGAGAGCAGTTTCGAAACCCTGGAGGAAGTCGAAGATCGTGAGAACGTGGGAGACCGTGGAAGGTAAATTGTCATATGCACGTAGAACGTGGTAGCAGCCTTGTTAACTGCCTTTGGAAAGCTTGAACGATGTCCTATAAATAGAGCAAAGAAGGACGGAATAAGGGGGCAGAAATTGGCAGAAAACAGAATCAGTAGTGAGAAAGTCTACCGGAGAATGACGAACACCATGAAGCTTCTGGCAATCTGGATTTCCATGCTCACCGAGTTCATTTACCATTTTCTGTATTTTCCTTGGTAATTTACGTTAATTGCAATTTGAGTTCAGTGTTTCATGTTTCTGTACTTTCGATTCATAGTCATTTCAATTCAATGAAAGTTTAAGTTTCTGCGTTTAAGTTTCCAGTTATTTATATTTTCTGCACGTTTCGATTTCCTGTCATTTAGTTCTTCATGCAAACTTAATTTCCTGCTATTTACATTTCCGTCATTTCCGATTCCTTGTCATTTACAATTATTGCAAACTTGGGGTTCTCGTAATTTACACTTTCTTGCAATCTAATATTCTGTTTCTTGATTCGATACTTTTACTGTTTTCGATACTTTAAATACAAAATACCAAAAACAACTTTTTTCGATATCTTGTGATTTTCGATTCTCATACACGTTTTTCGATTGAAAGTCAGACTGTTAGCCTAAGTAAAAAGAACTTACGTGGTAGGATTTCGATTAGGACCATAACACTGTTTAGAATCGAAATCGATCGAAATTCCACCAGAAACAAATTGGCGCGCCAGGTAGGGGGTCTTGTGTTGAGAAACACAAAATTGGTTAGTTCGAGAGCGTATGAGATTAAGGAGTGGGAGAGTCATGAGTCAGAGTTCATCAAGTAACCAGAGTAACACTGAGGGATTAAATGGGTCACACTCATCAAATACTGGGGGGCAAAGTCATAATGGGAATACACCTGTAGTATCGACAACTGTAAGTATGTCGATACCTGTGAGTAGTGAACAAAATTCAGGCACTTTAGCAAATACCCAAGTAGGATCTAGTACGGTGGCACTAAATAGTATGCCAACTATGGGAAACCCTGTGACAACAAATGCGGGGCCGTATATGAGTATAAGACCACCTGGGTTTTCGCTTAACATGAATGGGGTGGGTACTTCTTCGATGCAACGAAATTCGAGATATAACTTAGGAACATTCCAAACCCTAGGTATGCCACAGAATTTTGGAGTATCTCCTAACCTAGGAACATCTCAAAATTTAGTAATTCCCCAGAACTCAGGGAGTGTGCAGAATGTAGGAACGCAACAAATACCTCCAAATCTGGATCATAGAGGAAACGTAGATCATGGGAGATATGCGTTCGATAGGGATTATCATCGATCTAATTTTGATACCATCGAAAATACTAGTACTGGCATATCTAGTAATTCCTTAGGAATACTTAGACAACAAATGGATGAGAGTAATTTTGAGATGGTGAATATGTTATCACAACAATTGACTATAGTTCTAAATCCATTAATTCAAAACACTACTGCTAGTTTTGAGATATTAGCGGACCAAATGTCACGAATCGGGGATGCATTGGCTATACCTCGACAAACGAGGGTAGAAAATCATGCTACTAATAATCCCCCGTATCTATTGAGGAGGAATAGAAACAATGATCAACATCAGCATAGGGGAAATGAGTACCAACATGTGAGGAATGACCTTTATGGGAATTTGAACAAAGGATTTCAAAATATACACAATCAGAATAACATGTTAGGACAAAGGATGAATTTACAAGGGATGGAATTTAGACCACCCAATCAGACATATTTTGTGTCTCCCTTTCCGAATGCGATTCTCGAGACAGAACTGCCTCGAGGATATAAAATACCCAAATTCACTAAATTTGCTGGAGAAGTTGGTGAATCGACTATCGAGCATGTGGCTCGATATCAGATCGAATGCGGAGATTTAACGATGAGTGAAGAATTAAAGATGAAATATTTTCCTAGTTCTTTGACTAAGAATGCTTTTACTTGGTTCACTTCGTTACCGCCCAATTCGATATATAATTGGTTGCAGTTAGAGAGAAATTTCCATGAACAATTCTTTAGAGGAGAGACTCAAGTAAGTCTAATCGATTTGATGAACATAAAACGATACAATCATGAAAGTATAGATGATTATTTGAATCGATTTAGACAAATGAAATCAAGATGCTTTACTCAAATTCCTGAATATGAATTAGTCAGAATGGCCTCTGCAGGTTTAGAATTCTCGATTAGGAAAAAGTTGGTCAATTTACCATTGAATGATATGGCTCAGTTAGCTGATAAAGTGAGAAGAGTAGAACAAATTGAGTATGAAAAACAAAGATATAAGAAATTTGAGAAACCCTTGAAAAAAGAAAGAATAGCATATATAAATGATGTGTATGAAACAGAGCCCACGACGAGAGAATGAGGTGGAAGAGACTGTCGATGAGAAAGTAAATATAAGCGAGAACTCAAAGTAGGAGCTCCATATATCCGTAAGCTGCTACAAAAGAATGAAGTAAAAGATAAAATGGCAAATCGAACATATACTTTCGATGTGACGAAAGCTGATAAAATCTTCGATGTTTTGTTAAAAGACAAACAAATTAAGTTGAGCGAAGATCATAAACTGCCTTCGGCAGAACAAAGGAATGGTCGAAAATATTGTAAATTTCATAATGTTTTTGGACATTGGACTAACAATTGCATACATTTCAGGAATACGATCCAGGATGCGATTGACCAAGGAAGACTAAAATTTGAAGTGATGTCAATGAAAGTGGACACAAGTCCATTCGAAGTACAAGTGGGGTATATTGAATCCCAAACGGGCATGACTGAAGATGTCCGAATGATGAATTCTGCCTTTATAGGCATGGTCGATGTTACTGAAGACATTGATCCTAAACATGTTAGAATGGACGTGTCTGAAGAAGATATGGAATTCGATCTGAGTGAATTCGAGAAGGAGTTCGAAAAAGAGATCTACCCTCGACCAGGGGATTCCCTAGTTGAGTTTTTGAATAGGAAGAAAGAAAAAGACGAAGATGTGTCGTTATGCCCACGATGCAGTACGGTGTTCGATAAATCGGCTGCTAAAGCTTTCAAGTTAGAACAAATAAAGAAGATCGAGAGCCAAAATAAAAGGAAAAATGACAAAGTAGATCAAACAGTCCGACCAACAATCGAAGAAAGTCAACAGAAATCCGTTGGTTCTGGTGTTAGTGAAAATCAAAGGCAATGGATCAGAAGAGAAATGTATCCTTCTCGAGGAGGAAAAGGCAGACT